AATTAAAGTAATTGAATCAATAAAAACAAAGAAGGTCATTAAACGTATAGTAGTAATTTTTGTCCTCTCTACTTCAAAGACATTGGTCCTGACAAGATGCCCTGATCCACCCAGAGGTAGGATTTATTTCAAAGCAATGCATAATTCTTATTTCCTTTTTATCCCCTTATCAGAGTGACACAGAGATGAGGTAATGCCTTATTCAGTGCTGTTCATCGGTAGATCTCTAAGCACTTTTTACAAAGGATGCCAGTATCACTATCCCTGTTTTACTGATGGGGAAACTAAGACAGAAAGCCGAAGAGACTTGCTCAATGCCCCGCAGCCAGTGACAGAGCTGGGAATAGAGCCCAGGTCTTCTGAGTCTTAGCCCAGTGTGCTAGCCACTAGGCAATACTGCCTCCTAGAGAAGCGTTAAAGTCTCATCCAACTTCACTCACTGATGCCCCTTCAAAAATCCAACTCTTGTTATAAAGCACAGACTCAGTTAGAAAGGAATCAAGCCCACAGAAGGAGGAGGAGGCGGGTGGGCTGAATAATAAATTTAACTTGTACTTCATTGGTGCCAAAGTTCCTTTGAAAAGTCTGTGGGTTTAGGTTCAGTCCCAAAAAATTCTGTTAGGAGGTGTTTCCTTTCCCCATTCCAGACAGTGCTACCAAAGCAGTCACAGAACCACAGCCAAATTCCAGTGGAGAGAATAAAGAAAAAGAGAAAGTTAAAAAAAAAATCATGAGTAAAGATACTGGATGGGGCCACATAAGGTAATTCCTGAATTGGCTGGACACACACTTACTTTGTAAGTCACTGAAAAAAAAGTGTAAATATACATAGGTAATGCCATGTAGCTTCATACTGACAGCTTTCTGTATATGAAACCTGCTAGTCCCCCAGACTCAGAGTTCCTATTACTTAGGTGCCCTGTATCCTGCAGGTATTTTAATTTTTGCCCTATGTAGCTACTTCTTTTAAACCCCTAACACCTGCCCAGGAGAGAAGATAGAATTATGCCCCTTGTGGCTGCCAAGGTTTTTCTTCTGGATTTCATGTCATGAAAAAGCTGCCTCTAATTTTATTTTAATAGGAGGGGGAAGAAGAAAGAAAGTGAGAAGATTTGTTTTTTAATTAACCTGCTGTGAATGGGAAAAAATTCAAGAGCTGAGAGTGACAAATGAAAAAAAAAACCATAATGTCAAAGCCGTTCTGCAATTTCAGAGTTGTCTTATAAATAGTTTTTGTTTGTAATATTTAAATCTTACCTCTGTTCCACCTCGGGCTCACAGTGGCGTGAGCATTATAATAGAAAAGCAGCAGTAGCAAAGTCTTCCAGTGCATCCTTTACTTTAAAATCTCTCTATATCTGTATATTAGCTATTTGTTTCCTTGCTTCCTTTTCAGGAAGAGACGACTACCTCCCCACCCCAAAGGAAGAACCTGTCTGTTCTCTTGAGTGCTATTGAAGTCAATGTAGCAGCTCTTCCCTTAAACCAACTCTCCCAGGGATCAGCGAACTTGCTTTCATAGGCACACTTCGTTTTTATCCACATCTGGAATGACTCATGATGCATGTGAGTTTGCTGGCAGCTGTGAGAATAAATGTCATTACATTTTTGTATTCAAGTTCCATTTGTTAGAAGGGCCATTTTTTTTAAATGTCAAATAAACAGACAGGAGCAACTTTATGAAAGAACACTATTAAATGGTTGTTCTGTACGTTTTTTTCCTGCTATGCGCATGGGCATATGTTAACATGTAGCTCAGCTACAAGCCAGCTCTGTGGTGATGTCTGCTGCATTCCTTGAATGCATAATACAGAGAGTGAGGCATATTCACTGAAGGAACTTTTTACCACTGTGATTCACGGGCATCGCTCATTTATAGAGAGCACTAAAATAAAATACTTAGAGTGTGAGCAATTTGAGACCGAGACCATCTTTTTGTTCTGTGTTTGTACAGCACCTACTACATTGGGTGGAAAGTGTCTAAAGGAGTCACCATTCATGAAGTGAAAAGGTATTTGATAGTTGCCTCCTTGATGATGCTGGTCCACATAACAAAATTCAGTGATGCCAGATTTGAGTGTAAGATTCTACTCAGGAGAGACCCAGAATGGATACAGCTGGGGGTATACAGGTAAAGAAAAATGAGGTATACTATCAGAGTTGTAGGGTGGTCCACCATCCTTCAGGTCAAGACTGAGGTTCACTGAGAGCACACAGGGTTGAAATGTCAGGGGGTTGTTACATATCAGGACACAGGGAAGAAGTAGTGGGATGTGGATACTAAGAGATGATCAATGTGTGATGCAAATATTCATTTGCTTCTCAATTTTCTATTTAGTGCCTAGAAACCCATGATGGACACAGACATAGACGGCGGCTCTAATTCTTCTCTCACTTACATGTATGTAAGCCAGGATCAACTTCAATTAAGCGAGTGGAGTCACACTGGGGTAAAAATGGCATACACGAGAAGAGAATCCAGCTCAGATTATATACGTTAGCAGAGTTACAGGGAAGGGCCAAGGAACAGCAGAGGATACTTCAAATCAGGAGTGATGTCCATGGGAGGACTGCACAGAGGAAACCTTCACAGCCCTGGTTTCTCATATACCATGCTCTAGCCAAGGCTACAATTCCTTCACTAGCCCAAACACCAAATTCAAGCAAAACTGTTAGAACTGTTTGTAAAGGAAAAGAGGGTGGGGAGGTGGGGGAAACGACAATGGGGCAAATTCAGTCGTGTTGCTTACAGTGATGTAAATTCTATTGCAATAGACTTGAATTTTCCTAGATGCAGACTTTCCCAGATGTAGTTACACTCACCTAATGCTATAGGACTACAAGGGAGTAATTTCCATGCCAAGGAGATGGAAGATGTAAAGTAAAGCAGAGAATAACTGACTAACACATGTATTCTTACACTCTCTTGTTAGTTGCAGGTAACTAATCTGTGCTTCCCTCCTCGTCCACCCCTCCCGGGCTACCTTGGCAGTTATCCCCCCATTTGTGTGACGAATTAATAAAGAATGCATGAATTTGAAACAACAATGACTTTATTGCCTCTGCAAGCGGAGATCAAAGGGGGGGCGGTTGGCTTACAGGGAAGTAGAGTGAACCAAGGGGGCGGATTTTCATCAAGGAGAAACAAACAGAACTTTCACACCGTAGCCTGGCCAGTCATGAAACTGGTTTTCAAAGCTTCTCTGATGCACAGCGCACCCTGTTGTGCTCTTCTAACCACCCTGCTGTCTGGCTGCACGTGATCAGCGGCCAGGCGATGTGCCTCAACCTCCCACCCCACCATAAACATCTCCCCCTTACTCTCACAGAGATTGTGGAGCACACAGCAAGCAGTAATAACAATGGGAATACTGGTTTCGCTGAGGTCTAACAGAGTCAGTAAACTGCGCCAGCGAGCTTTTAAACGTCCAAAGGCACATTCTACCACCATTATGCAGTTGCTCAGCCTATAGTTGAACTGCTCCTTACTACCGTCCAGGCTTCATGAGCCCTGGGAGCAAGGGGTAGGTGCGACCGCACGGTACTGCCGACTGGGAGAGCAGCCTGAGGCAGAAGCCTCCAGCTGGCATAATATTCCAGGCAGGACTAAATCTCCATTAGACGAAACTTAAAAACGAGAATGACCTAGAATCATTCCCATTTTTGTCCAGACCGAGGCCGGCCAGGAGCACCCATGTCTTCCCAAGTGCCCCCCGACCAACCTAACCGAGGTCGGCCAGGAGCACCCACGGGACAACGACGACAACTAGCAGTCATATTGGACCATCTGCCGTCCGCAAGGCAAGGCAAGGGGATGCTTCTGTGTAGCACTGCAGTACTGCGTCTGCCAGCAGCACCCAGGAGACATACGGTGACAGTAAGCTGCAAAGCTCACTTTCCCAGTGCAGTGTTTGCTCAGCCTTGCAAACCTCTCTGAGCACACTAGCACCTTTAGATCTGATTCTATATTAGAGCCATAAATGATGTACATTTGCCTGTCATCTCTGTATTGGGTGTTTTTTAATGAAGAAAATGCAGCTGTAGTTATAAAGTGCCAGCCTAAAAATAGCACATAAGGGAACCATTCTCCTTCAAATGTTACCAGTGTAAATTGCTCTGTACAAATGTGTAAATGGTCCCAACAATCAGTATGAGATTAGGTATCGCACACACTCTCTTTCTCTCTCACACACAACATCCTTGCTATTAAGAAACCTCAGGATAAACCAGTTTTCAAACAAGCACAGGAAACTTAGCCACACATCTTCTATTCATTTTAACAACTGTCCCGGGTACGTACTCCAATTCCAGCCTGAAGCAAATCACAGCTTACCCTGCCTGTACTAAAGATTTGAACCAGTGCAACTACACCGCTGGCTGAAACTGGGGCAAGTCTCCGGCATTCACCAGAATTATACCCCCTACCTTGCCCTGAAATTTTCAAACAGGAAAATATTATAACAGAGGTGGAGTCACTTTGAGGATATTCCCTTATGGAGACAGAAGTCACACGGGAGGAGATCTGGTTTAAAAAAAAATTTACACATGAGAGACCAACATGTTCTTGTCTTGCTTTAGAAATAGATATGGGTAAAATGGTGCAAATCCCTAGTGTGGACAATTATACTGAAATATAAGTTTAGCATATTCCCCTAAATTTAGAGCCTTAAAGCAATCAGGGACAAATAATTTATTCCTATGAGCTGGTCAGTTGTTGAGATTGAGAGTCTTTCAAATTTCCCAGCATCTGTGAAAGACTTCAGGCCCTGGGGGAGGGAGGGCAGGCAGAGAGGGAGAGGGTGTGCCAAGCTTCTAGCTCTGGCAGGTGTTATGAGTGTGCAGGAAATTTGACACGTCTGGGACTTGCAACAATATTACTGGAGCCCAAAAGAATCCATTTTCCATGTGGGACAAACGTTCCTGTATACCAGCACCCGTGCTACCAATTACTGTCGATATACACTGGTGCTCCAACACAGTCTGTATTCTGTGGCTGGAAGCAATAGAGTGATAGGTGAACCAGGGACACCCAAGAAGCTGGCAGCTGCTTTTCCGTGTACTGTGGCAGCAGCAGAAGCTTCCTACAGTGATGGAGGAAATCTGGCATCTATCCCTACAGCCTGATGTTCCTCTGCTCTCCACGCCACTTGCTCCAACCCTCCCATCACAAACAATCTGATGGCAGAGGGGCAGCTCTTGAAGCTTGACTATTCCCACTGGGCAGGAGCTATAGGACACCTCCTTGCTGTCAGATGAACCCAAATTCAACAGGCACTACTGGGTAGGGATTTACATTCGAGATGCCACTGTCTACTCTTGCCCATATATGCTAAGGCCCATCGTGCGGGGTGCTATATAAGCACATAATGGGATACAGTCTCTGTCCTGAAGAGCTTGCAGTCTAAAAAAGCCAAGATAGATAATGGATTGAAGGGCAAACAGAGGTGAAGTGACTTGCCCAAGGTCAGAGATCTCCAGAATCCCAATCCAGGGCCCTGTTCCTTAGACCATGGTGCCTCCCACATGCTAGTATTCTGACATTGTCCATATATACTATGCCACTAATAATCACAATACTTGGTACTTTTATATAAGCTCCTTTCACTTGAGTATCTCAAAGCACTTTATAAACATTAAACAAGTCTGTACACAATCTCCATTATACAGGTGGAAAAACTGAGGCACAGACAGGTTAAGTGACTTGCTCAAGGCCTCAAAAGGTGAGTCAGTGCTAGAGCTGAGACTAGCACTCAAGAGTTGTGACTACCACTGCCACTGTCAACTGCTCTTCTGGTACACCCATGCATTCCAGTTCCATTACATACAACACCAATGCCAAACCCCAATAGCCAAATGTGACTGAACCAAGACACTGTGGACCTTTCTAGTCAGGAGCCCCAACAAAGTCATCTTTTTTCCCCCTTCAAATAACAGTTGGCTGACTTTCAGGAAAAAAGGTTATTTTAGAAGCAGATTACTTTCAATTGAGCAATTACTGGCTTCTCATTATCTGTAATGGCTCTTGTTAGCCTCTCAAATATTTGTGTTTTGGTTTACAGCTGCTTGCAATAACTGGAGGCAAAAATCTCACAAGAACTTCTGGGAAGCCTGCTGACTATGGCCTGGAATTAACTTTATGTTTCAGTGTCGTTATCCATTGGACAAGGCGACATTAGGTCTGAGAAAATTAATAGCCTCCTGAAGGGAGGAACATGGCACTGTTCTAGTATACCCCAATTTGTGTAGAGCTATTAAGAGGAAGGTATTAATAGGTTGCCCCACCACCACCACCCATGTTCCCAGTTCACATAGGATGTGAGTCTCAGCTACAGAGCCTGGCTTTTTAGCTCAGGCTGTAGAAACTCATGCTTTCAGCCCTAAAAGTCCCTGGTACAGTTCCTGGGGTGTTAGCCAAAATGGCAGTTGCGACACTAGCACAAACAGAAAGCAAAGACGGGGGAGGCTGAAGGTACAGTAGCAAGAGTTACTCACTATGGCAAATGA